GAAGGAGGAAGGGTCCTCACGTGGCAGAGGATGGTATGCAGGGGTACTGTCTGTTTTTCTGAGTCAAGAGTGCTACAGTAATGTAATGATCTTTAAGAACAGAATCCTGAAAACAAAGTAGAAGCCTAACCACCTTCCCCATTCCTCAAGAAATCCTTCAAACAATTCCTTCTCAAATAACTACTTTATTTACGCGCCTGTAAAGGATTGCTTTCTTCATCAGTTAGATCTACATTCAGCCCATCAATGTCGGTCTGTTAATATGTAATCCCTCTTTTCCTTGCTTAGGTGGTCTTTGGGTTTTGTCAGTGGGCTTTTCCATTTGAATAAATTTACTCTCTTCCCCTTTGGCCCTTTTCCCACCAGCTTTGATCTATATGTGATTATGAAGCCTCACTTGCTTCCATACTCTTGAACTCCTCAGGGCAAAGGCTTATAAGGCTCCCATAGTTATAAACAGCTCTTCAGGTCAAGCAAGCAATGATACGTTGTTTGAGAACGGAGAAAATACCGGCCAAAACCTCTCATTGCTCGATACAATCAGGTCTTCACCTATGGGAGCATATGTATTTATAGCCTTGTCACAGAACATCATAATTAGACATGCCCATAAGGCAGCCACAACCCATAACGCTGTCACAGCTCAGGGACTCCGTTATTAGTACTGTACCATCAGAGGGTTAGGCTGCAAGCAGATAACCTATCTAATACAGTAATACTTAAGGGAATTAGCCATGATTCCAATTTGGGGTGATTAGTTTTTAATCTGATGCTAATGTATTGTTCTGCATTCTTGCCCCGAAGACTGAAGTTGTCTTTTTACTCCCAGAACAGGTATAGTTTGCACCTCAACAAAAGCAAACCTGCTCAGGAGGAACTACGGCTATTTGGTCTCCATAAACTGCTGATGTTCAGTCTCCATGAACAGTTTTGTCAGTGGGCTTGAATGAGACTGCAGAGGTAATTGAAATATTTCTTTTATGATCTTGAATCCTGCCAACAGCAATAGAAGTAGTTTAAAAAAGAAAGAAATGGAAAAGAGCTTCCCTCACAGAACCTGTCCAGTTACGGAGGTAGCCAGCCGTCACTTGGCTGACATTTGTTTGAAACCAATGCAGATCTAGGTTTGCCTTGAATGGCTAAATTAGAAGTGAAATGGTCAGCTAAGAAGTTAAAGTCTGCTCCTTATTTCCTTGCACTTGAGCTACACAGCATCTCACAAATTTTATTTAGAGGCAAAGGAGAGATACGGAGTTGGATTCCTGTTAGATTCATAAGAGTTGACTCAGGCCCAGTAAAAAGTATTAATTCTACACCTATTTGTTTACAGAAATATCAAGCTGGCTACTTCTGTTTCAGGGCTGTGTGTTATTTCAAAGATATGGCACACTGATTTCAAAAGCATTTACTGGAATACTTCTAATAAAGGCATAGGAGGAGAGAGGAAAGAGTAGATCTCAAACCATAAAGAGTTAAATCAAATCTTGCTGTTAACAATTTTCCTTGGTTTATTCTCCCTAGTTATATGAAGTTCTTTATATAAAAAATCCTTTTCTTGACACTCTTTCATGGTATGAGCTTCTTGTGATGGGGTGGGGGGCAGGGAAGGCAATTTTAGCCAGTTGTCAGTTAATGGAAACTGAAGTTGTTCCCTTTAGCAAAAAAAAAAAAAAAAAGAAAGAAAGAAAGAAAAAGAAAAACAGGGAAAAAAGATTATAGCAGGAGGCAGACAAAAGATGCGTTTTCCTGCTTGTTTGAAAATTAGCTATGGGGAGTTGCACAAACATAGCATAGGCTCTCAGCAGCCATTCAGAGCTCACAAACTTTTATGCGTGAGCTTTTTAATGGCCTTACTGAGTTGGCTTTTTGGACCACAGACTCAAAGCAGTTTTGGGAAATGTGAGTTTGCCAAGCACTTATTAGGCAGGAAGCAAGAGGAAAGGGGATGAAGATGGGCAAGCAGAGGAAATAGCAGGGAGCAGTGAAGCCAAAGCTTCCAAGTTCCCAAAGAAACCATGAAGACCTATTTTTCTTAGCTTGAACTCGCAAGCTTGAAGCAATTGTCTTCCCTCCTTGTTATGTTGAATTTACATATTCAAATGGACTCATTCCCTTTGACCTACTTTGGCCAGCTTAAACTGTAGGCCTGTGCATAACGTGGGAAGAGGAGGAGTTTTTCTGAAACTATGAATTCCTTTATTGTTGTTCTGGTTGGTCATGCATATCTTTAATGTCTGGGATCGAGTCTTTAGCTGTACCTAATAAATATTAGGCAGTACACAGGGGGGATTTGCATTGCAGATGCTTGCAAACCATATTATCTTCTGCGGTATCTAACACTCCCATCATATTACTACTTCTCTCTGAGTTTCCTAGGCTTCAAGCAGTCAATTATTCACCCTTTGTGCCTCCAGCTCGCTCTTCTGTCATCATGTCTTCTTTGCTCTCAAACCTCTCCCTAACATGCCACATCCTCCTGTCTTTGATTGCAGGTCGTGTTTAATTTGAATTAGAAACTTTTTACGGCTGCCACTATATATCAGTCCACGCACATGAAATTAGTGCATACATTTCTGATGCTTGACCTGTGTGACATTTAACGATAGCCGATAGCATGGATGTGATTGGTAGCTACAGGCATGTCTTCACTGGACGAGCAGTATGAAAACATGGAAGAGATGCTTTTTGGATGAGTCCTATCAAAGCCCTGGGAAATTCAAAAGATTAAAATTTGTGCTGAGCCATACAGATGAGCAGAGGAACTCTAATTGAAATACAGACTCTGTGTTGTTCTTGGAAACTGGGCAAAATTCCCCATCTCGGCTCTGCCAGCATATCTCAGTCCTAGACTTCAGCCTCCACTGCTTCTCTGCTCCATAAGACGTACACTCAGCTTGGCCAGCGCATCTCAATCTTGATCTGTAACACCTCCTGCTGTTCCAGTTCTGGCTCCTTTTTGAGCAAAAAATACTAACTCTGCTAAGTTGTGCCAAATTGCTTGGTTTTGGCCACAGAATGCATTTTCGCTTGTCACCTAACGGGATACCTAGAGACCTTCATCCAACACTGTCAGCAACAGAAGGAAAAAAGAACATGTGAGTACCCAGCCCCCTGCTAAGTCCCCTAATTATATAGTGATGTGTTAATAACAAACATGCTTTCATGTCTTGGCAGTTGAAACACTCTCATCAGTAGTGTAATCCTTCAGAAGTAGAATCACACAAGAAAGATGCCAGTCCTGGTTTGAATTGCTTAATTAATATCAGCATAGTCTGTACCCAGAATTAGAGTTTGGAAGAAATACCTAGTAAGAAGCTGTCAGATATCAGTTGCTTCGATGTTCTGCAGAATCTGCACTACCACGTTAGAGATTTTTGCAGTTGCAGAATTTGGGGGTTCTGAGCAAAGAATCTCTCCTCCCTCCCACCGCACCTCATGATTATAAATCTCCCTTATTTGGAGGCCTCACCATCTCCCATCCTTTTGAGAACTCAGCAGTGGGGAGTGGAATGGCTTCCATCTTGGCTTAGGCACCCAAGCTGGAGCTGGGAACATCCAGATCCAGACTTACATGCTTCCTTCAGTTTGAGCCAAATTGCTGGATTTTGCAGTGCTGATCCATCGTACCCTGTGGTGATCTGCCTGATTCCAGCAGAATACACTGAAACTGGGGCAAGCATGAACCACCACGTGTGCTAGTGAATGCCATGAACAAGGAGAATTCATGGCAGTGACTGCTAGAGCTCTGGAGCAATCGGTTTGTTTCTGGAGCAAAGGGTTCAGGCACCAAAGGTGGAAGAGTTAAAAACTTAGTCAGAAGAAGAGAGGTTAGGAAATTATCACCAAGAAAGGAGTGAGGAAACTCTGGTATAAAGATGTCTTGATTGCATTTTTATTCTTCCCGCTATGAGATTCCAGGTTGGTGCAGCTGCACCAACTGTCTGAACAAAGTGGAAAAAGGTCCTCTGAAAGTAAGATGGAAAAGTTAGAAAGCCATAAAGGGTTAAGCCTGTGGGACGAAGAGGCTTAGGGGATAAATAGAGAGAGGGGCAGCAAATCAGAACTACAGAAAAAGGAGAGAGCGCCAAATGGGAGAGAATTTTTTTTCAGAAGAGCAGAAAAGGAAGCAACTGAGTGGTTTTGTCATGTCATGTTAGCTCATAAGCGTGAACTTCAGCTATGTCTAAACCCCCTCCCTCCTCATCCACCCGTGTGGCTTGTGTGTTGGCTTGCACTTTGACTGGAGTCTGGAATAAGCCAGCTTGCTTGCCTGGCAAGGATGGCAAACTTGAGCTTCCCCCTGTAGACAATATGGCTGCGAGCAGTGGTGTCAGGTGCTGAGTGTTGCATAGCAGGCCAACTAAACACCTATTTCTCTCTCATGTTTGGCCCTGTAAACAGTCGTGTGAGAGTTATTAAATTTATCACAGGTGGTGTTGCATACTGGCCTAGAAGAAAGGATGGGTAGATATCTCACATGAGCAGTGCATGCTAACTACGCAATGCTTTCAGCACTTTGTTTTATTCTCAACAACTTTGGCTAGATACAAGATGAATGACAATCTCATCTTTGGAAAGCAACTCTGAAAACAAAACTCTCAAAATATTCTTTAACCCACTAAATCCATCCAATTTATATGTTTATTGGTGAGGATAGACTGTGTCTCATAACATACACTTTGTATTCTTTTCTGTAGACAGGTTACAAATTAATGCACATTATTTCAGCATTAACAGCAGTGTTAGTATCATTGACAGTGAATGTATCATAAAATTTTTGCTGTTTATAGAATCTGACTTCACTGCTGCGGCACAAGGGCATTACTAACACCTCTTCAGTACCTCATCAGCATACACCTCAAACTAACACATTAGCATAGTACAAGCCATCAGCAAAATTTTAGGCTCTCCTCTGTGTCAAAAGTGAGACACTTACCACTGATACTGTTCAAGAAAACTAAAAGCTGGATCTCTGAGGAGCCTTCTGTTTGCAACCCTTTAAGCTTTAAGCTTTAATTTAAGCCCTTGCTGTGACAGAAGACTGTGGAAGAAAGATGTCGGTTTAGAATGGAGGAGGCAAAATATTTGTTATCCTTCAGGGCTCTCTGCACGCAAGGCTATACATGAAGGTCTTTTGAGGTTGTCCTGCCGATGGGTAGGGTAGCCTCTGACAGATTTCTGTAAGCATGAGGAAGGGAAGAGGCATGGTCTTTGGCTGATAGCCCCACAGTTTTACCAGCAAAAATGTACCTTTACTAGCATCATTTGTGGAGGATACACAGCCAGTATGTAGCGCAGCTTTGCTAGTGTATTAGTGCTTCGTCTCAGTGAGCTTTGCTGGGTTAATATTCAGGTACTCCTATACCAATCAGATATTTATAGCATGAGGATAGCCTTTTTGTTTCTGTCTTATTCAACATGTATCCTATGCATGTTTGAAGTAGGCATAGTCTGGATCTTAGGCACGGGCTAGCTCTTCGTGGGAAGTGGTTCTCTTCCACCAGCTTTGACACTGTTTTGCCATTCCAGTGGCATCCACAACTTTAAAGGAAGTGCATTGGATGGGGAGAATATAAGGTGATGGTTACATCAGCTATGCGCTGCTCATCCTTGTAGATCCTGTCTTACAGGCTGTTCCTGGGTGGGTCCTTGTCACACACCAGTCTGCTTAATCAGAACATCCCCCAGGGCCGCCTTCACTTTGCCTTGTGGATAGCACCTTCCAGTAGAGTGAGCACAGACCATGCTACAGCTGAAACAACAGGAACTCAAGGCTGTAGCAATTGGACATTTGGTTGTGCTTACTCATGGATGGGTGATCTGCAGACTGATACGATGAGCTTTTTGCAATATTGTAAGCTAGGCACATTTTAACATGCTAACTGAAGCCCGAAATCATGTTTTGCAATAAGTTAGTGTATTGCTCTACTGAGAGGCAGTTGCTTCAGCGTTTCACCAGTGAGACTGCCAAAACTATTTGTGTATTTCATAGTTTGTACTTGCATATATCCCCATGTCATATATTAACCAGCACAACTTATAAATAATGGTGCCTAGCACAGCTGTCTTCCATAGAGCTATCTACAGAGATTTTAGCAATAGAACTTGCTTTAAGAAGGTTGTCCCTAATATTTTCCTCCCGTGTGAGTGACAGTGTGTAAGGCATGGAGTATTTGGTATGAAGTGAAGAAGCCAGTGGCTTTAACTGTGGTTGCACATGTAACCAGATTTGTTTTAGTAGGCAAAAGAGGTCTCTAACCTCTTCCTCAAACAGGCAGTGGGCATAGAAGCAGAAGCTTTTCTAGAAGAAATGTGATCAAGACAAGTAGATCATGTGCAGGTAGAACACCCAGAAAATGCATGCTTTATTAAAAACGGGGCGGGGAGGAGCAAAGGAGGGGGGATGAAACTGGCTCTATAAGAAAAGGGTTGAACAAGATTTGAAGGAAAGTATCTTCTTATGCTTTGGGAAAAAAAGCCACCCAATCATGAAAATCCAGAACAAAGCCTGTCCTTTTCTAAACGTTATTTGAGATCTATTTTGATTTATATTAGCACGTAGATCTTCCTGAGGCTCTCTGAGCAAGAAATGAAATTCATTATTCCGTTGTAGTTTTGAGGCACATGTGACTCTTGTAAGGCTGTACTGTGTCTAGGCTAGGCAATGGGTATGACAGGGAGAGGTGGCTGACCAAAAGAGACTGAACTGAAAATCAGATGGACTCCCAGGGAAATTACTGTGTAGTCTTATGGGTGACCAACTAGATTAGGCTCCAGAGACTTCCTTTTGAAAGGCTACGTATGACTTAGGCCATCTTCTTTTTATGAGCTCAGAGGTTATACTTAGTTAATGCTGCAGGGGTCAATGCTTTTCTGAAAAATCTTCAGGCTAATTTGTGTGATTGGGTTGCTCTCACTACCTTAAAGCAAAGCACATCTCTCTTGCAGAAATGTCTGTTCTGCTCGTAGTGCAGGTAGCTCACATCATAGAGCTCTGGAAGACATAAGAAAAGGACCAGTAGGCAAATGGGCTAAAGAGAAGAGAGAGGTCACTAGAAGCACCTCCATGATGAACATATTGAGATAGACTCTTCCTCCTTCCTCTTTGCAAAAGTGGAGAAGAGAGCAAACAGATCCGTTTCTGCCGGTATTGCTTTTTGTGTTTCAGAAGTGACTGCTGGGATATGAAATTTCCCTTCGCAGTAGTGGCTGAGGCAGATTTATCAGGTCACTTTAGTCTTTCCCCTTTTTCCTCTAGCTGAAACATCAAGTATGCAGAAGATCTCAACAGCGAGTGACTCCATCTGCTGTCTAGAGGAGGTCATTTGTTTCTGAAGGCAATGCTAAGACTTTCCAGCTAAAGTTGCTAAGACTTTAGCACCTGACTCCTGAGAAAGTCAGTTGCTAAATCCCCTTTGACAGAGCATTGGATTTAGCCAAACACAGGCTTATGAGAACAGTTTTAGTCTCCCGTCGATCTGAAAAACTATACAGTAAGATTAAAAAATGTCCAGAGAAGAGCAACAAGGATGATTGCCAGTGTGGCACAGCTTCCATACACAAAGATGAATAAACACAGACACCTCAGCTTTGAGCAGAGATGCTCTAGGGTGAGGCCTGTGAAGTCATCCGTGTCTAGAGGGTGACCAGTGAATGATTGTTCGCTGTCTCTTTCCCAGGCATCACACTATTTTGCCACTGGCAGAGATGAGATAACGGCCTGTGTGGGTCTGTAGTCTGACCTGTTATGCCTGTCTTGTGTTCTCTTCTGGAGAGGAGAGGTGTTACTGAGCATGTTATTTACTTCAAGTGAAGTCTTGAGGTGCCAAATAGGGAAGTGTGTGAAGAAAACCCTTCCCATACAGGGCTTCCTTAGGGGAGAGGAGCTGATAACTCTGTGGAGACTGCTACAGATTTAGCACGAGCTGGCAGCTGAAGGTGAGAAAGACAGGTCCGGGCAGCTGCACAGGACACTTGGTTGGGAAAGGACACAACTATACAGCAAGCACCTGATGACCGGACATACATACTATCAAAGTAGATGAGCCTGACTAGGGCATTGCTACCAGATGAGAAGCAGGAGCCTGAAGACAAC